AGAAATGAATGCCTGAAGTCTTTTCTAGGCCCGGCTGTATCCCTGCCATTGGGTGTCACAAGATATCAAACCAACCGCTCTCTTACCCACCATCAGCCCCCTGCACCCCGACACCCTATAGTCAAGCAGCTGGAGTCGGCCTCAGTCTCTGGCCTGATTCAGTCCACGCACAGTCTTTTCAGTTACTTGCTGTGCATCTGAAATCTGGACAATGATTACAGATGGCAGAAGAATAACCGATGCCCTTGAGCAGTGGTGTTGGAGAAGAGCACTGAATAACCCATGAACTGTCAAAACAATGAACAGATCGGTGTTGGAGAAGGTGCAGCCATGATGCTCCTTGGAGGCAAAGATGGTGAATCTTTGTCTCACGTGCTTTGGGCTGTTCTTTAGAAAATGACATCATGCTTAGAAAGGTGGAAAGTAAGCAAAAGAGGTGAATGTTCCCCCAACTAGATGGATTGACACAGTGACTGCAGCAATGGGCTTCAGCGTGTCAGAGATGATGAGGTTGGCACAGGACAGGACAAGGCTCCGATCTGTTGGGTCGCTATGCTTCTTACATGACTCAAGAGCCCCTCACAACAGCGACAACAGCACTCTCTCACACACTCCCCCCAGACCAGAGGTGACCCTGGAGACAAAGGCAGGATCACCTTCCAACAGCTTTGTCAGGGGAAGAGGTAACGGGAGTCATTGGAGGGACTCGGAGGTGCGAGAAGAGAGAGCAGAGTGGAGCGGGAAAGATAACGCAGGCAGCAGATGAAGATACAATGGTGTTAATCATGAATTAAAAATAAGGGGTCCAGATCTGAACAAGGCTACATTTTAAAACCGACTTGTAGCTAAGTCTGAAATCTTCATTGTTACTTGAAGAAAGAAGCCAGTTGCTTATCAAATTTTGTGCTGACTGATACAGTAACTGGGGCAATGGGTGTTGGTGTGTCAGAATTAGTGAGACTGGCTCAGGACAGGGACGGGTTCAGAGCTGCTGTATACAGAGGGTCATTATGCATCACAGGCGACTCAACCAATAGCATTCTATGACAGGTTAGGAAGCAAGAGTGGCATCCGCTTCCTAAACAACTTGCCTCTAGAAACTCTATGAACTTTGGTAAATGTCGATAGTTGTAGAGGGGCTTCAGGCCTCTTGTACAGAGGACATTCAGACAGGGCTGCCTTTCACATTTGGGAACTAGAAAATCAAGGCTAGCTTCCAAGTCCCTCACTTTCCTCGGGTCTACCTTGAGCTCTCAAGGCAGTTCTTCTAATAACCATTTTTCTCTAGAAGTGTTTAAAAGAGGTTTAAAAATAAGGCCCCAGGAATCAATGGGCTATCAAGTCACATATTTCAACAAATAAACACAGCCCTGACGTGCTCACCAATCTAAACCAGGAAATTTGGAGGACAGCTACCTGGCCACCTGACTGGAAGAGATCTATATTTGTTCCCATTCTTGAGAAAGATGACCCAACAAAACATGGAACATATTAAACAATATCATTGATATCACATCCAAGTAAATTCTAAACGAAAATTATTTTTAAAATGGCTAAAATAGTATATTGACAGAGAACTGACAGAAGTTCAAGCTGAAGCTAAAAGAAGCCGTGGCACCAAGGATATCATTGCTGATGTCAGATGGGTCCTGACGGAAAGCAGAGACTACCAGAAGAATCTCTTCTTTGTGTTTTATTGACTATGCAAAGGTGTTTGGCTGTATGTGTCATAACAAATTATGGCTAACACTGAGAAAAATGGGAATCGCAGAGCATTTAACTGTGCTCATGTGAGATCTATACCTAGACCACGAAGCTGTCATCTGAATAGAGCAAGAGAACACTGCATGGTTTAAAATCAAGAAAGGTGTGCGACAGAATTGTACATTTACCCACAACTATTCAATTGGAATACTGAGCAAATCATTTGAGAAGCTGAACTCTATGAAGAAAACGAGACATCTGGATTGGAGGAAGAGTCAACAAACTGCTTTATGCAGATAAAACAACACTGATTGCTGAAAGTGACACAAACTTAAAATGTTCATTGCAGAAGACTAAATAAATGGACTACATCTTAACATCAAGAAAATAAAAGTTCTCACTACTAGGCCAATAGGCATAATAGATGAGGAAAGATAGTTCATGTTGAAAATTATTTTCTTTTACTTGGATCCAGAATCAATACTCTTGGTAACAACAGTCAAGAAATCAAAAGATGTATTGCATTGGGAAAGTCTGCTGCCAGAAACGTCTCCAAAATGCTAAGGAGCAATGATATCAATTTAAAGACTAAGGTGCACCTGATTCAAACTATGGGCTTTACTTGTTATGCACCTGAAACCTGGACAAAAAAATAAGGACGAAAGAAAAACTATTCTTGCCTTCGGGATGTGTTGTTGGAGAATATGCCAGGTACTATCAACAGAACAAATCTGTCTTAATGAAAATGCAATCAGGGTGTTCCTTAGACACAAGGATGGTTAAATTTCATCTTACATACTTTGAGTATGTTGTTCGGATAGGCATTCCTTGGAAAAAGACATCATGCTTGGAAAGATAGAGGGTCAGTGAAAATGAGAGGTAGATCTTCAACAAGATGGATTGACACAGATAGAGTAACAATGAGCTCAAGTGTGTCAGTGACAATAATGGTACAGGACAGGGCAAGGTTCAGATCCATTTTTCATAAGGTCACTATGAGTTGGACTTGATGGAACCTAACAACAAGAAGAAAAGGTTATACCTTTAAAAATAGATGTAAAATCATGTTCTTAGTATTTGTGCATCTCCTATTTAACTTTGTACTCTGACATAATTTCAAATTTAGAAACTCCTCCTTACCACGTTTCTCAAATTTAACATGAGCTTCTTCTCATCCTTTTTCTCTAGATCGGGGTCAGGAGGATACACTCTTGGAAAGTTGTTGTTAAAAAGGTGCTATCAAGTTGAGTATCATGTCCCTCTCCAAAGAATACCTTCTCCTAGCAACATGCCCAAAGTATGTGAGACGGAGCTTCAGTATCTTTGCCTCCAAGGAGCATTCTGGCTATCCTCACAGACACACTTGAGCCTATTACTGCAATTACTGTGTCAATATACCTAGTCGAGGTTCTTCCTTTCCTTGGTCAACATTCACCTTTCTGTGCATAATGTCTCTCTCTAAGATGTTCTCTCCTAGCAACATGCCTAAAGTATGTGAGACAAGGCTTTGTCATCTTTGCCTCCAAGGAGCATTCTGGCTGCACCTTATCTAAGATGCATCTGTTTGTTTTTTCGGCAGGCCATGGGTTATCCAGTACTCTTCTCCAACAACACAGTTGAACGTCATCAATTCTTCTCTCATCCTTATTTTGCAGTCAGGGACCACTCCAAATAATTGAAGCACAATGATGTCAGTTTGAGGACTAAGGTGCACCTGACCCCGGCCATGTTCTTTTCAATCACTTGCTATGATGCTGAGAGCCAGACAATGATTAAGAATGACTGGGATGGTAGGCAACTCCAACAGTTGCAGTGCAAAAGAATCAAAGGTTGGACATTTGGGCTGTTTTCATGAATAATGCTGCTACGAGCATTGTGCTGTTACGAACATTGATGTACAAATCTGTGTTTCTGCCTCAGTTCCCATATTTTCAGGGTTTATTCCAAGTAGTGGAATAGCTAGGTCATATGGAATTTCTTTGTTCAGCTTTTTGAGGAAGCACCAAACTGCCTTCCAGAATGATTGTACCATGTTACAATCCCACCAACACTGTATAAGCATTCCTTTCCCACCACATCCTCTCCAATATTTATTACTTGCTACCCTGTTAAACTTTGCTACTGTTACTGGAGTGAGATGGTACCTCATTGTGGTTTTGGTGTGCATCTCTCATTATTGCCAGTGATTTGGAGCATTTCTTCATGTGTCTGTTTGCCATTTGAATATCTTCCTGTGTGAAAATTCTTTCCATGTCTTTTGCCCATTTTGTAATTGGGTTATCAGTCTTTTTCTTGTGTAGGCCCAGGAATATTGTGTTAACTTTTGTTATAAGACTCTTGTCTGATATGGTATTACCAAATATTTGTTCCCAATCGGTAGGCACACAAATGTCCACCCACAAACGAATGGATTGAGAAATAATGGTACATTCACACAATGGAATACTACACAGCACGCCGAAGCAACGATTTTGTAAATTATTACCTAACTTGGGAGGGACTGGAGAGCATTAGGCTGAGTAAACTCAGTCCCATAAGGACAAATACTGTGTAAGACTGTTATTGTAGAATGAGTATGAGGATCCAAGGGGCATGGGGGAGGGTGGAAGCAGAGGGATGAGGATATGCAGGGGTAGGGAGGGAATTAATCATGAAGTTGTATAATTTGATGGGTGAGGATGTGTGAAGAAATTGTAAGAATCTGTTCTCCAAAACAATGCATCTGAATTTTGTAAATAAATTGATAGTAAAAAAAAAGTCCACTTGGGGAGGGGGGAAGAGGAGGGAGAGGGGGTAAAAGGTATAACAATGATGAGTTAAAATCTAACTTCTGTAAACTTTTATTAAAATCACAATTAAAACAAAAATTTTATGTAAAAAAAAAAAATAATTCAAGGATCGCCCTGCCCCGCCCCCGACAAGTCTAGGAGCCTAGCCGGCTTGAGCCTGCAGTGACGTCATCACGCGGGCCCGCAGTCGTGACGTCACTTGCGCGCCAGCGGCGAGACTCCACTTCCCAGGAGGCTGCGCGGCGGGGGCGACTTCCGGCGGGCGGTGCCGGCCCCGGAAGCGGCGGCCCGAGCTCTGGGCAAATCCCGCGGCGACAGGTCGGAGGGTGGCCGTCGGCCGCCGGCATGCAGGCCGACCCGCCGGTGGTAGCGCGCGGCCCGTTCATTCCCCCGCGGCGCTGGCGGCGGCGCGCGGCGGCCTTCGCGTGAGCGGTGTCGGCCGGAGGTCCGCCAGGGCGCCCGGTGGGCAGGGCGACAGGCCGGGGTCGCCACGTCCCCTCGGCCGGGCGGGTGGCAGCAGCGCCATGTGGAGCGGCCGCAGCTCCTTCACGAGCCTGGTGGTGGGCGTGTTCGTGGTCTACGTGGTGCACACCTGCTGGGTCATGTATGGCATCGTCTACACCCGCCCGTGCGCCCAGGACGGCAACTGCATCCAGCCCTACCTGGCCCGGAGGCCCAAGCTGCAGGTGAGCCGCCCGCGGGACCTTGTAGCCAGGACCGGCGCGTTCGTGACTTGCCCCGTGCCCTCGGCCTGGGGTCACCCCTTGTCTGAGCCGGGACCCTAGCACTCCAGTCACCACCCGGGAGTTGGGATAGGGGCCCCTCCTGGGATCAGAGACCCTGGGCTGGGCCGGGGGCAGTCTCCTCTGAGCTCTGACCCGGGTGACTCTTCTGGGGCCCTTTCATTTTGGCTGAGAGTGAATCTCCTCCCGAATCCTGGTCTTCATTCAGGCTGACTTCCCGGAACCCCCCTTAAAGACCTTGCTTGATTCGTGATCCCAGCAGGCTGCAAGGCCTCCCCCTGCCACCCCATTTAGAGGATTACCCCAACTTCATCTTGCTCTAGGCCTCTGTAGAGACCCTTGCGTCCTCTCGAGCAGATATAACATGGTCAGCTGGGTCCTAACAGCTGGACGGAAACCCTGTCCCTGTCGTAGCTGGGCATGCCCTGCTGGGTGCTGCCAGGGCCTTGCCCAGCTAGCTCACTTCCTTTGCCCTCAGCTGAGCGTCTACACCACCACGAGGTCCAACCTTGGTGCTGAGAACAACGTGGACTTGGTGTTGAACGTGGAGGACTTTGACGTGGAGTCCAGATTTGAAAGGTATGATTGTGAGGCCGAATGCCCACTTTAGACCAAGAAGCCTTGAGAACTGTCATGGAAATTGTTGCCCAGAAGGCAAGGGCGACAGAAAAGAAGGAAAGTGGAACCCGTGAACACAAGTGGGAGGTGTGCCATGACATTGTGGGGATTTCGAGCAGCGTCCAGAATCAAAACATAAGGGAACTGTTTGAATGGGAAACCAATTGGCTCTGTCTTTTTCCCCCCAGATCGCAATAACAAGGTTGTTTTTAAAACGACCAGTGTTTGCAAGTTGCTTTTGAGGTGCAGACTGGCAGCTTATTTTGTAGATGGTAGCCCACTTTAACTAAGGGCGCTGCTGCGTAAACAGTTCTACTTTTGCTTTACTTGCAAATAGTGGACTGTGAATTTACCATTCAGGAAGTGGCTGTGACCAGAACACATTGTCTGGCATCCCTGGAAGTCAGAAGTGGAGTATCTGATTGCATGATGACGAACAGTAGCCAGCGAGTGTCTAAAAAGAACAAGTGGGGACAGCCTGACAGAGAACAGATAGCCCCCATTGTTTGATAATAGTGGCTGGCCTGTCCCCTCCCAGTGGACTGGGTTCACTTACTTCACCAGTAAAAGGAAGGGGGGGGGGGTCTTAGGGAAGAGCTGTGACAGAACCTCATAATTGAGAGAAGTGTAACATAGAAGCAGGTCAAACAGTACATCTACATATGTGTAGAGTTAAGTCTAAAGTCATACTTTAAAATGGATTGCTATTGTAAAAATTGATTTTTTTTCTTTTTGAGACTTTTTTCTCCCCTCTGGCTGGTCTGGGAGCTGTCACCCAGGCCGTGGCTACAGGGGACAGTCCCCGTAGGGTACCAGAGAGGCAGTGCACCAGGAAGGAGCATAGGCCTGGCACAGACCGGCCCGTGACCAAAGAGCTGATCTCTCTGAAATTCCAGGAAAGGGAGGCATAGACAGGCTTGCTCTGGTTTTGTTTCTAGCAGTCCACTCTTGGAGAAAATACTCCATTTGGTTTCTCAGACCAAGCACTACCTCTGTGCAGGCCCCTGAGAGAGCAAGGTTTTAATTTCTCCTAGTAGTCCAGTCTCCCCTGACTGGACAGAGAAGAGACTACGGGCTCTTGATAACATCTTCCTTAGCTGCTAGCTCTCAGCCATGCCTTTTCAGAGCGTGCCTTTCAGGAGTGCTCCGGTGCAGCATGTCACTGATCCTAGACCCTCTGCTCAGAGACCCCGTGGAGCACTGGGGAGAGGCTGGGAGTCAGGCACTTCCTTATGCCTTTCCTGACAGCAGCAGTTGCATGGAACTTTGGCCTTTTATATTTTGTAAACCGGGAGAAGCCGGAGCTAATGCAGTCATTAACAGGCTGAGTGTGTGGTTTCCACACGAGGCTCTAGCCTGGAGCTGGAGCGTGGAGGCTGGTGCGAGGTCTGAGGCCCTGGTGCAGCTCTGTCCTGTGGCTTCTGCATGGTGTGACGCTGTGGTGCTTATAGCTGCGGAAGGCACCAAGGCCTGGCTTTTGTCTCTCCCTGTACAACGACACACTTCTCCCCTCACCCCACGTAAAAGCAGTGCCCTGGAGAGTGTGGATCTGCTTGGGCCAAGTGTCTGGATATGGGCCTTGTCCCCTTGCATAAAGTACCACAGAAACCTCTGGCCCCAGAAGTGGGGAGGGCCTTCGTGAAGTCACAGGCAGGTGAGTTTCATTCTTACCACTGCTGAGCTAAAAATACAGTGGGTTAGAAACAGCACTGTGTGTGAAACTCTTTGAGTGGTCTTCTGCTCTGGTGTGTGCCTCTGTGCACACTCAGACTTTAATGTGATTGACGTACTTTGTTGGGTTTTAGGACAGTTAATGTTTCTGTACCAAAGAAGACAAGGAACAATGGGACCCTGTATGCCTACATTTTCCTCCATCACGCTGGGATCTTACCATGGCAGGATGGGAAGGAGGTGCACCTCGTCAGTCCTCTCACCACCTACATGGTCCCCAAGCCTGAAGAGGTCAACCTCCTGACCGGGGAGTCTGCCACACAGGTGGGTTTCTGACATTCACTCTGAAGCAGGCTGAGCCTGTTTGCTCACACTCTGACGTGCTCTGTGTCCAACCACATGCAGCCTGAAGTTGGGGCTGCTGTGACTTCACTGGGAGGGGAAATGTCTGAAGGTCACTAGCCTAGTGATAACATTGCAGAGAAGTGTGTGACTCCAGCGTGGTGTAGAGCTGAAGATGTGAACTTGGCTTCTTTACCGCAATGCTTCCATGCCCACACTCCCTCCCAGTCCTGGGGAGCACCGTTCTCTCTACTCAGGGAGCACTCCTGCACAGTCATCTCCTTCCTTCTCGTCAGAACCATCCATTAGAGCTGGTGGGCTGTCGAGCTCTGGAGAGAGCTGGGCTGCTCTTGGATGTTTATTCTCAGCAAGTAGTTTAAGTTAGGAAAAAGCTGGGTGTGCAGGTTCTATTTTGTGCCCCTAGAAAACTATGTCTATAGAAAGATAGTTTTTGTTTTACTGAGGCCAAGATTAAAGATGGGAATTCTTATGTTCCTGCACTGTTAATTACCATTGCTAAATTATATTTCTCAGGAGGAGAGCTTTAGAATGATCTTGTTTCATAAAGTCAGCCCATTAAATGCAGAGATTTTCGCATCTCAGTGCCTTTTCTGTGCATAACTTCTTGAGGATCAGTCCTGTCGTTGTCACGTTTCCTCCCAGTCTGCTTTTTTGGTTTAGAAACAGTCTGTCAAGTGTTGTTATCAATCTTCTCCCACCAGACCCACGACCAGCGAGTTGATTCCAACTCAGCACTCCTGTAGGACAGAGTAAAAGTGTCCTGTTGTGTTCCCAAGATTACCGTCTTTATGGAAGCAGGCTGCTGCTTCTCTCTTTGAGGAGCATCCCGTAGGTCCAGCTGCCAGCGGTTTGGTTAACAGCCAAGTGCTTCAACTCCTCTACCTCCAGGTTCCCTCAGCCTTCAGATTGGGCAAGTCTGCAAAGGTCCCTTTACTCTCAGGCCTCTCTTGGCCTGGTCTCTGCTTGCTGAGGACTTTGAACAGGGCTCTGGGTGCAGCTGTGACAGGAGCAGCACCACTCTGTTTCCTGTTGAGAGGGAGGCTGATGGGAATGTGGAGAGAGCCTTGGGTCACTGACTGCCACACTGCCTGCAGCCTCCTCTGGCTCTTTCTCTCCCTGTGCTGGTCAGGGTGCCCCATCTGGTCTTGAGTAAAGGTCCTGACCTGCTGCCCTTGCAAATGATGCTGGTCACCTTGGAGTTCCTAATAGATTGTGCATTTTGTGAAACAGCAAATTGAAGCTGAAAAGAAGCAGACCAGTGCCTTGGATGAGCCCATTTCTCACTGGCGGCCGAGGCTGACGCTAAATGTGATGGTGGATGACTTTGTCTTCGACGGGTCCTCTCTACCTGCTGATGTGCATCGGTACATGAAGATGTAAGTGCCACCTGTCCAGGGCGGGGCATCACCTCTGGCAACACCAGCGCTATGGGAGTGGGGAGAGTGTGTGGTTACTGAGCCTGCAGTATCGCTGCCCTCCCCTGAACTGATGGCAGAGGGAAGTGAGCCCTCTCCTGGAAAGAAGCGGGAAGCAGCTAGAATTCCAGCTGACCGAAGTTCAGGGTGCTTGGACACATCTGGGTCACATCCGAATCGCTGAGGTGGAGGTGGTGGTCAGATTGTGAGCAGGGGCTGCTTTTATTTAAAACCAATGAACAGTTGGGAGAGGGACCAGACTGGAACCATGCCTTCTGCCCTTTGCCCTAGTACAAGCTTCACTGGTCGTGAAAACAGTACTGATTCAATCATGGTTTGCAGGCCTGAATCACTTTGCACACGTCCCCCACCGTTGTACAAATAGTTCTTAATATTGTTACTGTTACGTGCTGACAAGTTGCTTGTGACTCATAGCAACCTTGTGTACAACAGCTATGAACCCTGCTCTATCCTAAACAACACACACACACACACACACACACACACGCCCGCCCCAGTCTCTGAATCAATCCATCTCATCAAGGGTCTCCCTCTCTTGCACTCTCCCTTCACCCTCCCAAGTCCATCTCCAAGGACTGGTCTCTCCTTACAACATGCCCAAAGTATGTCAGATAGAGCTTCAGAATCCTTGCCTCCAGGGAGCAGCCTGCTTTCACCCTCTCTCAGATGAACCTGTTTGTTCTCCTAGCAATCCATGGTAATTTTTTTTCTTTAATGTGATACATTTAAAAGTACTAAAAATGTTGTCTTTCGAGCATTAGTATCTCTCATCCAGATTAGTTAACCAGAACTGTTAAAGTGTTTGAACAACTTAAAATTACCCTGCATCTTCCATTCTTTGAGGAAACTTAGGGTAAATTCCTTTCCTGATCATCTGTCCAAAGTGAGCTAGCATCTTGGTGTTTGTTCTCAATTCCTTAGGAGCATTCTGTTATATTTCTTCCAAGAGTGATGTGTTATTTTCACATTCTTGGGCATTCTCAGGATATTTCATGTTCATGTCAGGATCACAGTTCTTTGCATCAATTCTTCTTTCTCTTGCACACAAATGAGGCTATTGAAATGATCATGGCTTCAGTAATGACACTTTGAAGATCTTTTAAGGAGGTCTTCATAGTTTGCACAGTCCAACGCTGGGTGTGACTTCTGGACGACTGCTTCCACAGGGTGGTCCTCTGTGTGGCTTCATACATAGATGCCTTGTTTTTTAAAACAGTTACAATAACTTCCCCTTGTTAAGCTGTCTCCCGCCCTGGTTAGGCTCTCAGGCTTATAGTGCATGAGGGGTGTTTGTGATGAGTGCATAACCTCAATTCTTTCTTCTTTTTTTTATTCATTTGTTGTTGCACATTTTCCTCCTTTACACCCCCAGTCCACTTTGCATTGCACCATTTGTTCCAGATTGTTGTCATGTGTTGCTGCTGCTGTTCTTATGTCCCCATCAAGTTGCCTGCAACCCATACAGAAGCTCTTAACTCTGCTCTATCCTGAGCCAGCCTCACTGATTCCGACACACCTACCTCCATTGCCCCAGTTACTGTGTAAATCCATCTCATCCGGTGTCTTGCTCTCCTGCACTGTCCCTCCACCCTTCCAAGCATGATGTCCTTCTCCAAGGACTGGTCCCTCCTGGCTGCATGCCCAAAGTATGTGGGACAGCTTCAAAATCCTAGCTCCAAGGAGAGACTTGGTTTTCAGTCTCTCCAGGACAGACCTATTTGTTTTCTTGGAGGTATGTTCAAGACTCTTCTCCAGCACCACAACTTGAAAGCATTGATTCTTCTTCCATCATCCTTAGTCATTGTCCAGCTCTCTGATGCATAGCAAGTAAAGGTGAAGACCGTGGCCTTGATTAGGCAGACCTTAGTCTCTAGACTGACATTGTTGCTTTTATGCCTAGTCATATATTCCTTTCAGACATGTCTTCCCCACATCTGTTTGAATGCAGTGTTCATGATCTATCTGCTCTCTTTTTTTCTTCTCACGCTACCCCATATCAGTCCTATTTTACAGTAGCTGTTTCTTATTTGTTCTGCTCTGACTGAGATCACTCACTTGGCCTTATGTCTTCCAGGCTCACCCATGTTGTGTGATGTTTTACAGATGCATTGTTTTTCAATGCTGCATAGTATTCCATTGTGTGAATGTACCATAGTTTCTCTGTCCATTCATTTACTGACAGACACTTGGTTCTTTCCATCTCTTTGCTGTTGTGAACAGCACAACAGTAAACATGGATGTGCATACATCTGGCCGCTGTGGTTTCTTTAGAGTATATTCCCAATAGGGGAATTGCTGGGTCAAATGGTATTTCTATTTCCAACTTTCTGAGAAAGCACCAGACCACCTTCCACAGTGGTTGTACCATTTTACACCCCCACCAGCAGTGATTAAGAGTTCCAGTCTCTCCACAACCTTGCCAGCGTTTGTTGTTCCTGCCCTGTTGAACTTTGCTGTTGTTGCTGGGGTGAGACAGTGTCTCGTAGTTGTTTTCATACCTTGATCTTTTGCTTACAGATGGAAGGATTGTGACCTGGGATGTCAGGGACTGGGAAGCTGTCTCACAGCACTGGGTGCTTTCTCCCCCGTGAACCCAGTTTCTTGGGAACGTATTTGTTCACGTGAAGGTCACGATGCTCATGTTGACTTACGCTGTTTGTGTCCTAGGATCCAGTTAGGGAAAACTGTCCATTACCTCCCCATCCTGTTCATCGATCAGCTGAGCAATCGCGTGAAGGACTTGATGGTAAGTGATCTGGGTCATTTTAAAGTACCGGGTCTGCTGTGCACTGTGCTGTGCTGATTCTCTCGTCTGTGTCTGTTTCTGAGTCCTGACCTGAATCATCCATACAATAGTCAACACTCCAACCACCCCTTTTCTGTGGAGTAGGAAGTGCTGCTCTGGGGATGTGGGCGGCTGTGCTGTTGGTCTGTCCTCGGAGGACTTTGTAGCCTGGTTCACAACATGCTGGCTCTTCAGTCCTGACCAGCACACTTCTCCCTGAGCAGCAGTGTCTCATGGGTAAAATAGACCTGAAGCACGTTTATTGTTTGGGTACCTGGATACAGAGACCTCCCAGAAGGAACAGTGTTGTTTGAAAACATATATCCAGTTTGATCTAGAGTCCTGAACAGAAAACAGTGATTACTCCAGCAGGATCTTGAGCAAATGCCTTTTCCCTTAGGTCTGTCCTGCACGCTGAGGGCCAGAGGTCCTGGGCTGTGAGATCACAGGTCCTCTATGAGATCAGAGGTCCTGGGCTGTGAGATCACAGGTCCTCTATGAGATCAGAGGTCCTGGGCTGTAAGATCACAGGTCCTCTGAGATCAGGTATCCTGGGCTGTGAGATCACAGGTCCTCTATGAGACCAGAGGTCCTCTGAGATCAGGTGTCCTGGGCTGTGAGATCACGGGTCCTCTATGAGGTCAGAGGTCCTCTGAGATCAGGTATCCTGGGCTGTGAGATCACAGGTCCTCTATGAGGTCAGAGGTCCTCTGAGATCAGGTATCCTGGGCTGTGAGATCACAGGTCCTCTATGAGACCAGAGGTCCTCTGAGATGGGTATCCTGGGCTGTGAGATCACAGGTCCTCTATGAGGTCAGAGGTCCTCTGAGATCAGGTATCCTGGGCTGTGAGATCACAGGTCCTCTATGAGGTCAGAGGTCCTCTATGAGATCAGAGGTCCTGGGCTGTGAGATCACAGATCCTCTGAGATCAGGTGTCCTGGGCTGCGGGGTCAGGGTGTCACTGGCCCTTCTGAGCTGTGCTGAGTGCAGCGTTTGCACCTGGAGCTGACTTGCTTGTGGCCCGAGGTGTGGTTTGTACATGCCATGGGGACAGAGGTTCCCATGCTTCACAGCCACAGGTTCCCTGCACACTCTGGGTTCTAGTTTGTGGGTGACGACAGTCCCTGGTGCATCACAGGGTGACTGCGCAGTGAAGATGCTCATGCTCCGTTTGGCATGCCACAGCCATTGACTGTACCATCCAAGAACTTTGTGTTAGGAACACTATTTTTTTAATATATAGTTCAGAATAAATTTCCTTTAAACTTCATATTGTAAGATGGATAAAAGTTTATAGAAAAAATAGTTTTCCCCTCAACAGCTGACACACATTTGATTTGTGACATGGATCGCAGCCTGGCAGCACTCTACTTCCGTGTTTACATTTCCACGGCACCTTTCCTACCTGCAGGGAGTTCTGGGGTGTCGTCAGGAGTTGCCTGCTGACCCTAAGATGGTGCCCTCTGGCAGTTTGAGGCCTCCAGCAGTTGTGGGAGATATAGCCTGAGGCCCTGCTGGATTTGCAGCTGTGAAACCTGTTCTCTCCTGAAAACTGAGACCCGCTGCTGTGAAGTCAGTTCTGACTCATGAGGACCTTCCATTGAGTGTCCAGGACCATCAGTCTCAAAGGAGGAGATGGCCCATCTTTCTCCTCCCGAGCAACTGAGGGATTTGAACCTCTGGCCTTTGAGTTAGCAGCCCCGTCTTTAACATCCCACACCCTCAGAGCTCCTTCATAGAAGATGAGAGTGCTGCGAACCACCACTGGTTTGGGTTCTGATTCCTTTAGGAAAGCTGTGGCCGTGCCTCAACCTCCTGCCCCTCACTTAGCGCGTGGCGTGCTGCACGCTCCTGGCCACTCTGCCTGTGTGACATCTCCTGGCTGGGCCACAGAGCAACACGGGAGGAATGGCAGGACTGTGCACGTGCAAGGAGTGTGGGTCTGTGGAGACCATGGGCTTCAGGGAGGTGGCAAGGAGGGCGTTTCCTCCAGGAAGAAAGCTGTGTGTCCTTAAGCAGGCATCTGCCCCAAATGAGGTGCCCAGGATCGGAGGGGAGGTGGGTGCTGGCCTCAGTCAGCTCATGAAGAAGCTGGTCTAGAATAGAGCTCCTGGGAGAAGGGGGTCCAGGGAGCCTTAGTGAAGCCCTTCCTTAGGGAAGGGGCACATGTCGACTGTTGGACTCCTGACCCAACGCTGACAGTAGAAAGGTGCACATTGTCACCTGGGAGCCATTTCTAAGTCCATATCCTTCTCTCCAGGTCATCAACCGCTCAACCACGGAGCTCCCGCTCACCGTGTCCTATGACAAGATCTCGCTGGGGAGGCTGCGCTTCTGGATCCACATGCAGGATGCCGTGTACTCGCTGCAGCAGTTCGGTGCGACCCCCTTGGCCGGCCAAGCCTGGAGTCGTTTTCTGCCTCCTAACTTGTGTTTGTGATGTTGGGTAAATCTTGGGTCGAGTGGCCCGTTTCCCCTTAGCGTCCGCTTCCTCCTCATTTGCAGGGTTTTCAGAGAAAGATGCTGATGAAGTGAAAGGAATCTTTGTCGACACCAACTTGTATTTCTTAGCCCTGACCTTCTTCGTCGCAGCGTTTCATGTAAGTGGGTGACTTGGGTCATTGTCGGGGAGCAGTAATTGCAGGCTCTGGGAATCTCCTTTACCCCCTCACTGTCCCCAGGTGCTTGCTTGCTTGGTGCCTAGCACCCCTGAGGCTTTAAGGCCTTCCTCCTGCGCTTTGTCCCAGCTCAGACGTGTGCGCACACGCATACATGTACAAGCATACCCCAGCTCGCTGCCATAGCTCTGAGGATGGGTGTTTTGTTGTTTGGTTGGGAAGAGTTTGAAAAGGAAGTTCCAGAAATCTTTGGGCCCAGTCAGGGCGTCTCCTTTCATCTCACAGATACAGTAAAAAGTCATGAAATAGAAACAAAAAACTATGAACACATCCACGTGGTGGAGTTAAATATGGGGCTTTGCAGATAAATTGTGATCTGTTGGTTTTCACGTGGACAGGCTCCCTGACTGTGGGGTCTACACAGGTAAGTGAGAGAACCAGCTGCAGGAGTCAGTTTCTGTCGTGTTTATTGTTTTCAGCTCCTTTTTGATTTCCTGGCATTTAAAAATGACATCAGCTTCTGGAAGAAGAAGAAGAGCATGATTGGAATGTCCACCAAAGCAGGTAGATCCTCCGGGGAGTTTTTAGCCCAGTTGTTAAAGGGTGTCGGTAAAGGTAGAGGGAGCGCTGGTGGTAAGGTATTGCGCTGCTGACCGGAAGGCATGTAGTTTGAATCTTCCAGCTGCGCCGTGAGCAATGGAAGAGCAGTCTCCTTCCGTGCGGTTACTGCCTCTGCAAACCCAGTAGAGGGCCAGCTGTGGGTTGATGCCAAATCCATGGTAAACAAGCAGTAACAAAAACAAAGAGAAAGAATGACACTTGTGAAACACAAAAGTTAGGGTTCTGGGTGATAAATGCTAGTCTCGGACTCAGCTTTTAGCTTGTAGTCCTCCTCCTGGTTCCCTGGAGGCTTTGTGAGTTCGTGTATCACGTGATCACATACCACGGCACCCAGCCAGCTGTCTGTGAGAGCCTGAGAAACAGCTCGTGACTGGCGATCGGGCAGCCTGGGTGTGGTGGAGGGGACCCTGACTGAGGACAGGGTTGACAGGAGCCTGTGGACACTCGGGATTCCGTTTCCATCCCTGGGGGCTGTTGCTGCCACAGGTGCCTTAGTCCTCCTGTTGGATGAGTCGGTGTCTTGAGGCCAGAGGTGTGCTCCTGGTGCTGTGCCCCACCCAGGCCTGCTCAGAGGTGGAGTCGATTGTTCAGTGCTGCCCTGCAGTGCACAGTGTCCGGCTTCCCTCCCTCTCTCCAAGCCCAGCCCTTCCCTCAGAGTGCGTTGAACATGATCGCCTGTGGATGTGAGTTTCTGATCACATTGACACAGCACACTGTGTGTTCTGCACCTGCCTCTGGATGGCGTGGTGTTTGTGCTCCTCTCTGGAGTGACTCACCGGGAACCAGACCTATGCTCGCAAAGTGAATCTGGTTCATGAAAACCGGGGGTGTCTGAGAAAAGCCGTGTGCTGCGGGACTTCCAGAGGTTGACATCTCAGAACCCCGGGTCTCTGCCTTAAGGCCCCTCTGGGTGCCTGGAGGTTTCTGCCATTGCTCTGATGCAGTGGCATCCACGTGTCTCCCCAGTGCTCTGGCGCTGCTTCAGCACCGTGGTCATCTTCCTCTTCCTGCTGGACGAGCAGACGAGCCTGCTGGTGCTGATCCCCGCGGGCATTGGAGCGGCCATCGAGGTGAGTGTGGAGCGCCCGGGGAGCTGCAGCCACGCTTGGGCTCCATCTGCTGCGGTCTGCCGCCCGTGGGCCGCTCCCTTAACCTCCTGGCAGACGGAAGGCGGTAGAGAGAGCCCTTAGGAAAGCGTGTGTGCTCCCTGTTCCCAGAGGGCGGGAGTGCTCCCCCTGAAGACCGAGGGGGCGCCCCGCTGAGCAGTCCTGTGGGAGGACGTGTGCTCCCCTTGAGGAGTCCCATGTGAGGACGTGTGCTCCCCCTGAGGAGTGAGGGTGCTCCCCCTGAGGAGTCCCATGTGAGGATGTGTGTTCCCCTCTGAGGAGTCCCGTGTGAGGATGTGTGTTCCCCTCTGAGGAGTCCTGTGTGAGGACGTGTGCTCCCCTCTGAGGAGTCCTGTGTGAGGACGTGTGCTCCCCTCTGAGGAGTCCTGTGTGAGGACGTGTGCTCCCCCTGAGGATAAGGGTGCCCCTCTGGGCAGTCCAGTCAGCACTGACAGGGCTTTCAGACTGTGCGGTTAGCACACTGTGGGCGTAGGTAGTTGTGGAGGCTGTGGGTTTTTGTCACTCTCTGCGCTGGTGGATGACCTCCTCTGTACCTGACAGGCTCCTGTGCGCAGCACTGTAGCGGAGCAGGCACAGGACAGGATGTGGCCTCCCCTCCCAGAACTCACACATGTGCTCCAGCCCTGCTTGAGGGCTTGGGAAAGAGGCAGAGGGGGGCTGTGGGTGCACCGTGAACAATGACGAGCTGATAGGCAGTGGGCGGAAACTGCCCCTGGCCCCTTGGACCATGAGGGATGACTCACACCCAGCCTGCCTGAGGCACTGGGACTGCCTGCAGGACTGGAGTGCAGCCCAGAGATGTGGAGAGGTGGGGAACACACACCTGCAGGCAGGCGGGCTGGCTGAGCTGGAGGTGATGGACAGGTGCGGTCTCCAAGGGGGAGCGTTGTCCCTGTAGACGGACTAGCCCCTCTCCCCCTCAGCATTGGAGGAAGGAGGCCCAGCAGTCAGGCCATGGCGATGCCCTCTGGCCCTTCCTTGGGTTTTGACATCTCCTGAAGCCTGCCATCTTGTATTTACAATTTTCCCATTTCCCCCACAGTTGTGGAAAGTGAAAAAAGCATTGAAAATGACTGTTGTGTGGAGAGGCCTCCTACCTGGTCTTCAGGTAAGCTTTTCTTTGGAGTCGACCCTCTGTGTCCTCTCTGAGCATCATGTCGTCCTGCCTCCTGTCTGCATCACCCCCTCTCTGTTGACCTGCTCCTCTTTGTCTACGTGTGCCTAAGTGTTGCAGTTCTGTGTCGGCCCTCACTCAGCCCCCTGTTCTGGACCTCAGGACGCCCCAGCATTCTACTTCCTGAACAGACCCAGGAAAGAAAGGTCCCACAGTGACGCAGTCCGGGCCAGCAGTTTCACATAGTGATTGAGAGCACTGTCCACAGTGGTGTCAGAAATGAGTCTGTCAGAGAGCATCTCGGGCCAAGAAAGTACTTGCCATCAGCCCTAGGCCTGCCGTGTGGGACAGCTGCTATGGCCTGGTGAGGTCAGGCGGTGGCTGTAACCCCATACCTGAGGGCACCTGGCCTGGTGAAGTCAGGTGGTGGCTGAGGACCTGATACCTGAGGGCGTGGGGCCTGGTGAGGTCAGGCGGTGGCTCATGACCTGACCTGAGGGCGCGGGGCCTGGTGAGGTCAGGCGGTGGCTGGTGACCCCATACCTGAGGGTACAGGGCCTGGTGAGGTCAGGCGGTGGCTGGTGACCCCATACCTGAGAGCACTGGCCTGGTGAGGTCAGGTGGTGGCTGTGACCCCATACCTGAGGGCACCTGGCCTGGTGAGGTCAGCTGGTGGCTGTGACCCCATACCTGAGGGCACGGGGCCTGGTGAGGTCATGTCACGGTGGCTGGTGACCCCATACCTGCGGGTGCAAGGCCTGGTGAGGTCAGGCGGTGGCTGGTGACCCGATTTCTGAGGGCGTGGGGCCTGGTGAGGTCAGGCGGTGGCTGGTGACCCCATACCTACAGGTATGGGGCTTGGTGAGGTCAGGTGGCTCGTGACCCCATACCTGAGGAAGGGGGCCTGCCACATGGGGCCCTGCTGTGGCTTGCACTCATGGGGAAGCTGGAGACCTACCTGAGGGCATGGGCCTGTATCCTGAGACACCTGTGGCCTGGTGAGGGCACGTAGAGGCCTGCAGCCGTATGTCTGAGGGTAGCCATGCTTCGCTTTTGTTCAGCTCTGCTCCCCAGGGTGGGAGGTGTATCTTGTCCCACTTGGCAGCCCCTCTGCAGCTCGGGGAGGGGACTCTGAGGTATGGGTGGAGGGCAGGGTCCCAGCAGACCACCCCCCGAGCACAGACTTTGTTGGGAGCAGGCTGTACTCGTGGTGGTTGTAAAGTGTGTGTGAGCTGTGTCTTCAATCATGGGTCTCATTAAACCTGTCATGTCACAACATTGCGGTGTGCCTTTCTTCTGTAAGCTAATCATGATTCTCTCGTTCCCATCTTGAAACAGTTTGGCACTTACAGTGAGTCGGAAAGAATAACCGAGGAGTACGACACTCAGGTGAGCTGGGTGATGCAGGTGGAGGGTGTGTGGTCTGGTAGGAGAATCCAGCATCGCGGAAAGTAACACCCGTCCTGTAGCTGTGAGACAGCCACGGACCCAAGGGTGGCCGTGGGGTCAGGACTGACTCAGGATCAGGACAGCTGTGGGGTCAGGAGAGCTGACAGGTCAGGACAGCCACAGACCTCAGGGCAGCCGAGGGGTCAGGACACACTGGGGGGGGCGGGGGGAGCTGTCCGCTGTGCGACGCTCTTTGTTTTCTGATCGCTGTTGCACAGCTGGGGTTCTGAGTTGTGTTTCATGTGGCGTTTCCTACAAAGGCATGATTCCTAGGGGACAGGTGTGGCGTATGCGCCTCTTCTCACTGAGATTATACAGAACTTCTAGTCAGATGATTGCAGTGAGTGGTGGTCCAGCCTTGCTTAGGGGGCCATCTGAGGGCCGCATGGGCTTTCTCTGCATTGGGCTAGTCCTTGAAGAGCCACAGGATTTTCTGTCTTTGGTTCTTCTTCCTCAGAGGTCAGTTAGTCCAGAGGCAGGAGGCTGCCTGTCTGACTAGAGGTGGTTTTGTTTCCTGACAGGCCATGAAGTACTTGTCGTACCTGCTGTACCCGCTCTGCATCGGCGGAGCCGTTTACTCCCTCCTGAACATCAAGTACAAAAGGTAGGAGCTGCCGAGCCGTGGTGGCCCTGACACGGCACACACCATGCGGGGGAAGTGGGTGTGGAGGTGCTGACCAGCAGGAAGGTCCCTCTCTGAGCTGGAGTGGGCTGGGCTGCCCTCGGACCCCGTTGGCTCTGGTCATGCCTGGGGCCTTTGGGTGTCCTAGTTGAGGACAGGACAGGGGCTCAGGGCACATCTCATAGCTGAGCTAAGTGACCGATGACCCCAGGCTCAGGAGAGCTCTCCTCCTGGGAGGCCGGTCTCCTGCGACAGCGCGGGCCTGCAGGCTCACAGGACACGGCCACAGGAGGGAACGAGGGGGTCTTCTGGCCGTGTTTCTCCAGGGCTTCCGTGAGGGGACAGTGCTGTCACTGCCGCAGTGCTGGGAGGCTTGAGGACATCACTGCCTGCACACAGGGCTGTCCTAAGGCCCCCACACCACCCTTCCTGTGGGCATGTTGTCTGGCAGGGACACTATGTCATGCTAGGCAGCTGGGGTAGCCAGCTGACCGAGCGAGGGGACGTCTGTCCTTCCTGGCTTCACCGTGGTGGTCGCCTGTGCACCACCTTAGAGGGCCGGTCTGCTTTGCTGGGTGCTTCAGAGGTCCTAGATGTGTATATGAGGGTTTTCATGGGTGAATCTTTTATTGAAAGATTGAAATTCCTTTTCTGCTCCCTTCAGTTGGTACTCCTGGTTAATCAACAGCTTCGTCAACGGTGAGCCTCTGCCCCCTCATTGCTGTAGCGCATGTTTTACTGTCCCTGTCCCTGTCACATGCTAGTGGAGGTGTGTTCACCTCTGTGTGTTGAGATGTCCCCACAGTGCAGTGGGCTCTGCACCCTGAGCCTGAGCCCCACACGGCCTTTCTGGAGGCTGAACCCCGAGCCCCCCGTCCCTGCACATGGTCCTGGTTAAGGGCTGACAGAACTACCCCGAAGGTGCCTATCCTCCAGGGGCCTCTGGGAGGCTGTGAACTCCCAATGTTTAGTTTGTAGTTGAGAGCTTAGTCATTTGTGCTGTTCCTGGGATTGATTTCTCCCAGCATAACTGAAGCTCAAGCCCAGAATGTGCCGTGTGACTTTGTGCTAGATCATTCCAGAATGTTCTGGCTTGCTGTCTGAGTGAGTCCACATAGACTTGCTCAAGCCCAGTGATCGGGGTCCTGCCCTTGTGTGTCCTGGAGAGAGGGGCACCCTTTCCTGTCCCGCCGGCCTTGGGTGAGCTCACTGGGCTTCTGGGTGCACGCACCTGCCCCACCACATCCACCATGTCAAAACGTCTTTCGATTAGGGGGTGGCCTCAAAGCTAAGGGTCAGCAGAAAATGGCCAGGCTGTTAACTCTCGTGTTAAGAGGTAGATTCCTGTGCTGCCCACTCCTCCCTTCACGGCCACACCGTCTCAGGGGCCTGTGGGTCAGAGCTGAGGCCTCATGAGCTCTCGCTGGCCCAAGCTGTGCCGTTGGGAGTCAGCTGTGTGGTCTGCGGTCAACCCGCGAGCCCGAAAGCCCCGTGATGTGCTTGGGGCGGGTGTTGGGTGCTGCTGCTGTTGGAGAGCTGGACAGGTGAGTCGTCACACATGCCACCTGTCCTCCTCAGGGGTCTACGCCTTCGGCTTCCTCTTCATGCTGCCCCAGCTCTTTGTGAATTACAAGGTGAGACCAGCCTCTCTCTGTCCCCTCCTTCCTCTCCACCTGCCCCCACTACCTGCCCACTGACTCTGCTTGTCTCTCCACGGATCGCCTGTCGCCTGCTCTCACAGATGAAGTCAGTGGCTCACCTGCCCTGGAAGGCCTTCACCTACAAAGTAAGTAAAGGGGCGTGTGTGGCTGGGGCTGTCACAGACAGCCGTGCTCCTCTGCCTGTTCTCAGACAGACCCACGTACGGGTTTGCAGCCGACGTGGATGTGTGGTGACCCTGCAGGTGTTACTGTAGAACCGCCTTCCCTGGGGTTGGCAGCAGCTGATGCTTCACAGGTGGTCACCAGGCCTTTCTTCTTGGTGCCCATGGGTTTGAATTCCTTCTGTTAGTAGGTGAACCAGTAGCTGTTTGTATGACCCAGAGGTCACAGTTTTGAACACTTCTGCAAATTAAGTGTTGTACTGTTAGGGGATGCAGCAGGTAGACGGTCGAGGGGAGCACAGAGCTGCAGGGTGACCCCTCCAGCCCAGCAGCCCCGACTCATTGGCCTCCCCTGCTCAGTGCTTTCCCGCTCCCAGCATGTCTTTGTTCTGCTCTGGGGGGAACAGGAAGGTTTTCTTTCTTCCCTGACATAACTCAGGTCCAGTTGGTGATCACTCGGTGATTCCACACTGCAGTGAACGACCATCCTCACCCTTTTGCCCTTTGAAGATGTGCACATTAACGATGACCGCCTGGCAGTGCGGGCACCTGGGGTGCGACCAGGAGCCCTCCACGGCTAAGGTGTGCAGCGGGGCTGGCCCTCAGTGGGGGAGGAGCCAGCCTCACATGGCCCTGCTGCGTGTTCTCATGACGCTGGTTTAGGTACATATCGTAGCCATGCTTGGGAACAGGAGTGGCATCCGCTTCCTAAACCACATGCCTCTGGAAACTGTGAACTTTGACAAATGGCAGTAGATAGAGAAAAGCTTCAGGCCTTTTGTTCATAGAGTCACTATGAGTCATGCTTGACTCAACATGCTGTGGAGTGTTTCTGGAACTTTCCCTTGGCTCTTCTCTGTGCATGGAGACCCAGTTGGGCCTGGGATGTGCTCTCAGTGCCCTGAGGTCCAGCACCGTGACTGCAGCCCAGGCAGTAGGCAGAGTGTCCCCCTGAGGACCACGGAGGCTTGTTCCTTCCTCACTCAGTCCCAGTTGTTCCTCCTTGTGACTGGCCCGGCCTTTCTGTTCCCATGAGCACTCATTTGTGCTTTGCATATCAAGGACAGTCTATTTGCTCTGAAGGCATTTCTCAGCTGCCCTTCACGTGCTCTGAGGGAGAAGGAAGGGCGTCTCCTCTGGTGTGACATGGCGGCCTCTGGGAAGCCCCTGGCGGGTCAGCCACGAGTCGGTTCTGACTTGACGGCACACAACAGCAAGTTGCAGAGACGCATGTGAGTGCAGCCACACTGTGGGCCTGCTCGGTGACACATAATGCCCACGTTCTGGCTTCACAGGCTTTCAACACCTTCATTGATGACGTCTTCGCCTTCATCATCACCATGCCCACCTCGCACCGGCTGGCCTGCTTCCGGGACGACGTGGTCTTTCTGGTGTACCTGTACCAGAGGTGGTGAGTCTCACGTCCGCCCCGCTCTGTGCTGCACTTGTCTGTCCATCTGGGAAGAGGGCCCACGTGAGTGTCGGCTTCCGTGCATTGTCCAAGCTGCCGTCCGCTGATGAGGTGACGCAGCAAGAGTGCCAGCTCTTTGTGTCACTCGCGCGCCAGGCGGCTTTCTTTCTGTTTGCCTTGGCTTCCTGGCCACGGCGAGTGGCATCCGTGCTCACAGTAAACAGTGTTTAGGGAGGTGGACAAGGCAGTGCCCGCCAGTCTCAGGCTGGTTTTCCGAGGATCCAGTGAGTGGTCGTTTGGCATGAGTGGTGTGTACCTCCTCTCCAGAGTCACTGCCCACTCTCCAGTGGGAGACGTGTGCTGGTGTTTACCAGAGGACTGGTTCACTGTGGTGCCCATCTCCTTACAGATAGGGCTTCCAGAGGTCACTTCACAGGCCCCCTCCTGGAGGCCTCGCTTTTTGCAGCCATCTATGTTCCTCCGGCTGCCTGTCCTGTTTGCAGGCTGTGTGCTCCAGGAGCTCTGGGACCTCCCACTCCTCTCTGGGGTGCGTCACCCCCTCAGCCCATCCCCTCCAGGGCTCCAGGACATGTGGCTCCCGTCAGTCCATCCCCCAAATCTACAGGCCAAGGCATGGAGTTAGGAAAGTACCATTGTGGTATGAGGGCAGACCTCACTCTCTACTCAGCCGTGGTCCCTGCTCAGTGCTGGGCACCCTCATCTATGTCGTTATCCCAGGTGAAGTGGCTGTGAGCCTGGCATCTGCAGGAAGGAAGGTCAGGTCGCTCCCTGTCAGGGAGTGGCAGTGCCATCCGTACAGAAAATCTCGCAGTGGGTCTGTCCCTCTGCAGAGGTCCCTAGCCTGTCTGCTGGGACTCTACCGCTTGGGCAGTGCCACAGACTCCTCACGAGCCTCTGAGGTTAGTGAAGTCCAGTTTGCAAAGTGCTTGAAGTGCTTCTTCGGACATAGACGCTCTCCGGAAGCACCAGCTGTTTGTGTTCATCTTGTCTCTGCACCATTTTCTGCAACACCCTGTGGGAGGATTCTCCACACCTCACACTGCCCCCCGGTAGTGTCTGCTACCCCTCTTCGTGGCCAGGGTCTTGTGCCCTGGAGAGGTGGGGGTTAGCCTGGCCTTTCCCAAGAAAACATCAGCAGGTAGCAAGAGATACACTCCCCAGACACCCCTCAGCTACTTGCAGACCACCAGATGGGACATAAATCTGGTTTGTTAATTATTACCGTGTGTGGGGTGCAGGACTAACCAAGCTGTGTCATTGCAGGCTTTATCCCGTGGATAAAAGCAGGGTGAATGAGTTTGGGGAGTCTTACGAAGAGAAGCCCACCTGGAAGTCTCACCCAGACTAACCCACGGGACCCACACCCCGCTCAGAGCCACCTGACCGAGCTCCACAGGCCTGGGGGACAGATGCCGCCCGGGACCCGGGGCTGCCCTGCACAAGGTCGATCTCTGTCAAAGAACAGTTTTGATTGTCCGGACACTGAGTATTGGAAGCTTTTGATGGAGTCTCCTGGACATTCCACCTTCTTTGTTGCCAAAACTTCTCTTGACGTCCCTCACAGCTCTCGCACCCTTGTGTTGCCTTTGGAAGGAACTGCCTGTGTCCCCGCCTGGACGCCTTGCCGTGGGCCTGCTCCAAGCTGCTGGCTGGCATTGGTGGCACAGCGGCTCCGTCCACGCTGTCTGCTGGCCATCCTGTGTGGGGCGGGGCTCGCCTGCGGCACCCTGCCCACCACCTGCCAGCACCCAAGCCAGGAGCGTGCCCGCCAGGGGTCCCCAAGGTTGGGAGCAGCAGGGACCAGCATTTCAGGCTGTTGATTTTTCTCACCTGCACCTCCCCCACGTGAACACTGAATGCCCACAGAAACCCATTCTGTATGGACTCTCTGGGATCAAATCGCTTTTTTCTCTTTTGTTGAAAATTTCAATGATTTTAAAGCTTATTGTATTGTATGTTTCTATTTGAAAATAAATTTCTCTGGCCATAATGTTTTTCTTCATCTAGTCTAACGTGGAAAATACTTCACATACCTGTGATCCAGCATTAACACATGATGCTTTAAAAGGAGGAAACTTGAAGGCACAGGCCCAAGCGTTTAAACCCAGGTGTTTGTAACTGTCCAGATCGGGTGCTTTCCTAAACTTGCCAAAGAAGGCCCCAGCTGACCACACCCTGTGCGACCTCTCAGGGCTCAGCTCCTGTGCCAGCACGTGGGGGAGCCTGGGGGGAGGTCGGGAGCCAGGGGACCATGGGAAGCCTGGATGCAGCACATGCCTTCTGAAGGTTATGACATTTTCTGCCTTTAACACTGCAGCCCCCTTGATTTTCTGTCACCCTCAAACACCCGAACCGTTCACACTTCCTTCCCAGACAGGCGTTAACCTCAGTTCCGGCTTTCACAGGCTCCCCCGTGCAGTCATGACCGGCCAGGTTAGACTTCTGTTTAAGAAACATCATAGGTTGGACAGTGTGAGAGAGGACACAGGGAAGTATCTCTTTAGACAGGAGATGTCTGCCAGGACTCAGGAAGCACGTTCAGTAATGTGCTCCGTGAAAATGGCTCACGTGTGCCTTGGGGGGGGAGTCATGCATGTGGGGTGAGCACCTGCATGTGAGGGCACCTGTGTGCGTGAGTGGCTACGTGTACGTCAGAGCACATGGGTGTACGTACACGTGTGTACATACTGGGTGGGTGGGAGCTGCTGTCGAATCCGACTCCGAGTGACCCTCTGAGATCTGACGCCGTCCTGTCCTGTGCCATCCTCACAATCGCTGACACTCTCAAGGTCACTGCTGCAGTCACTGTGTCAACCACCTGGTTCAGGGTCCTCCTTCGCCGCCCCTCTATCTTCTCAAGCGTGATGGCCCATGTTGGGTGTATGTACAAATATACACGTATGTATGAGTGCACATGTGTGTTAGTGCTCCTGTGTCATGAGCGCGTGGGACTGTGCACGTGTCGGTGGGCTGCTGGCACCCACGTCTGTCATAAATGGAGAAAGAACGGCGTGTAGGTGCCCTCATTGTGAGGTGACTGAGACAAGGGCTGGCTCTCTTAGTGGGCTTTATGCAGATAGAGGTAAAGTGAGAGAAAATGATGGAGTGACGCCTTCAAGGTCGTGTTCTGACATCTGGGCATCAAGGCCTTTAAAGACAGTCGGAGGAGGAGGCCAGGGGAAAGGAGCGTGGGAGGGTCCAGGGTCTGACCAGGCTCGATCATGTCTCTCCCAGAGCGCTGTCTGACATCCACACTTGGTACTCGAGGTCGGCACTCAGCAGGCTTCCTTCCTCAAGGTGCAGTTTCCAGGTGTGTGGTTGGGTGCGCCATCCTAACAGTCTCTGACACGCTCAAGCCCATTGCTGCAGTCACCTTGCAATCCACCTGGTGGAGGGTCTTCCTCTCCTTCTCCAACCCTCTGCCTTTCCTAGCATCATGTCCCTCTCCAGGGAATAGCCTCTCCTAGCAACACGCCCAAAGTATGTGAGCTGAAGTTTTATCGTCTGGCTGTACCTTTTCTTTGTTCTTTTGGAAGTTCATGGGATGTTCAGTGCTCCTATCCAGTTCCACAGTTCAAAGACATCAATTCTTCTCTCACACTTATCCACTGTCCTGCCCTCAGATGCATAGTAAGTGATTGAAAAAAGTTATGATCTGAATCAAGCATACCTCAGTTTTCTAACTGATATCATTGTTCTTCAATAATATGACAAGGTCCCTGGCTATATAGATAGAACTCCCTCAGGCATCTTTCTGGATTTTAAACATGCATTGTGCTTTAAAAAAGTTGAATTAGAATGTATATGAATGATTGTATAAAACACAAT